AAAATAATATTCTCTTAAGACTGCATACTATTTTGACCCTCCTCTATATTTTAAACTAAAAGTAAAATGAACATGCAAAATGTAGCTGGTACATGCACTTAATTAAATAAAAATGTTTTTTTTAAAAAAAATTGAAAATTCTAGTATTTTATTTGCATTTAAAAAACGAATATCTGAAGAACTAATTTTAGTTTGAAACATAGTAATTATAATCGTATAACTTTTTGACAAAGTTTCATAACAAAATTCACATTACAATAGCTTGGCAAATGCAAACCATTTGTTGATCGACAAGATGAATTGTAATTATTGTTCTCGCTTCCTAACATCCAAATTATCCGCATTAGCGATGGAAAAAAAAATACATCGACTAATTTTAACGCTTGTAGAGGATCTATCCCTGTAGTAGCATGTGGTAATTTGAACAACAAACATGGATTTATAAAAGCCAATTTCAAATTCAAGATTAAACTTCATTTTACCACGACGTATAAACAGTTCAAACATAAGCATGAGTTCCATAATATCTTCCCTGAACATATCTCTTTTCTGGGCTCATGTCCGAGAGTTCGTGGGTTCGAACCCCGCCGGCCAAAGACTCCCCGTGTAGTAAATGGTGACTGATGCATGTTAAATCTGTCGAGTCGCAAAGGTCTCCATGTTCCCATAACAAATCAATACCTCTGGGGGAACTGTGTTGGAGATTGATCGTTCTCTGATTCTGGTCAAAATTACGATCTGTGGATGAATGACTGGATGTGTGAAGGGGTCAGCCTTATAAAACGGGCTGTGACGTGTGTGCGGCTGAAGAAGGATAGGAAAGAAGGATGGCCATAGGATGGCGCCACTAAAAAACAAACGCACACTCTGCCTTAAATTCGCTCGGTTTCACCAAGCAGGCTTGCCCGTGTGACAAGTGGCATTAGAAACAACAACAACAACACATATATTTTTTTTAATCCTTGTCGAAAATGACGTTAAAAAAAGAACGAACCTTAAGGGTCTCGTATTAATATTTATAGGAAAAACAAAAACATCATAGCTATCTGACAAATCATTATTGGAGAAAAGGTGCATGCACAAAACATCGAAATCTATTTAATTATTGGATTAAAGGAAACTGGGAGCAGTTGAATGACGATTATTAGAACACTTCGTAGGCGACTTTTTAAAATTGGACATTGCTTAAAATATGTGTTTACGAAAACGGACACAGCTCAAAGTAAATGTTTACGAAAACGGACACACCTCGAAAGGCTTGTTTAAGGAAATAGGCATAGCACTTGATTCCGTTTTTCAAACTTCTTTTACGAGTATTTGCTTTCATAGAATTTAAATAAATTCGTACTGTGATATGCATTCATTTGCATAACTCGGAACATGGTACATTAAATTAGTCTTCTTTTTTTAACAGTCGTTTTTTCAAGGTTGCATAATTTTATTATAAAGATACTAAATTTACGTTGTATGAGTTTTAAAACTAACCTCCCCGTTTGGAGTGCTGAATACAAAGATATCATCTGAAAAGTTGTATCTGTATTGGGCAGTACGGTACTTTGCCACTTAATGATTACTCTGAGTGTTTTAATATGTAAGGAAATGTAAGCTCGTAATTCCTTATCTAATTGTTAAATTTGGGTTGAAAACTGAAAAAGGAGCATTTTTTGCTGTGTCGTAAACACGCATACCGAGCTGTGTTCCTTTTCCTCAGCAGGCATTTCGACTTATGTCCATATTCGTAATTAACTAATCACGCATTTTGATCTTTACCCATTTTCGTAAATAGGTATTTCGTACTGTGTACATGTTTAAAAACTCACCTTCAAGTTCTAGCCGAAAAACAAATAATTTTGATGTTTTCTACATCCACCTTCCTCAATAGTGATTTGTCTGATTTCTATAACGTTTATATTTTTTCCTCATTGTGCATGGGTTTTTTTCTAACCTTGACAGGGATTTAAAAAAAATACATTGTGGGAAGCCATTATAATATACCTTATACCTAAACGACCTGTAGGGTACGATTCTAAGAATAGCAAACTTTAGATGGAGCTTAAAAAAAAACCTTTTCTGTCGGTTATGAAATGATGTAAACAAAATTTATTGCTGAAAGTAGTTAATAAAAATGCTTCATTATATTACAAAACTAAACAATTGCTATTTAAAATAATAATAGGAGTAACGTTTACTATTGTTCATTCTCAGAAATTTCATAATTCGCATAACGTTTTTTTAAAAAAGGAATTCAAAGAAAATTTTGAAACAATGAAAGTTATACTTATTACTTTCAAGTGAATCTTAAATCAATAAATGTTCAAAATGTAAAAAAAAAAAAAAAAAAAAAAAAAAAAATTGCATTTCCTTTTTAGAGAAAAAACTCCGTTTGAAAATAATTTTTTGAGTTACACTAAACTTTTTTGATCATATAATTAACATACATTTCTATAAATGATTTTCGGTACGGTATTTTGTTTTCATTTACGTCGCACTAGAGCTTCTCACTGAGCTATTGGCGTTGGTCTGGGAAACATCTATGAGGATAATTCGGAGACAACATACGTCACATCCGTTTTGCAGGTAGGACATATTCACACACACCATCCATCAGCAGATCGTAATTTTGACCTGAACCAGAGCATGATTAATCTCCGATTCAGTACCCCCCCTCCCCGAGAGTTATTGATTTGTTATGGGAACTTGGAGGACTTTGTGACCCCGACAGCTTTAGAGTGACTAGCCACCACTGGGATTGGCTCAACGATTGAACTCACGACCTCTCGGACATGGGCTCAACGTCTTATAAGTCAGGCTCTCCCGGCCATGTAATTTATTTCACTGTAGCAAAATGTGTTTACTTTTTGGATGAAAATCAAACTCGTAAATTTTTGATGTACTTGCCATCACATTCAATGGAAAAACTATATGCAGTTCTAAAACAAGTGAAAAACAAATGTTTCCCAGAGAGGATTTGAAATTGCGAGGATAATCTATGAAAACGGGGAATAAAAACGAAAACGATTGTTCATTCTATTGTCGTTTGTAATTTAATATGTAAATAATTTTCCATTTACGATCATTTCATTTAGAATTGCTTTGCATTTGGATGAAAATGCAAAATATTAATATTTAATTATCCATAATGAAAATTCCTTTCCAAATATTTAGTACAAAAATTCGTTTAGTCTTAAAGAGAAGAAAAATTAAACGTTATATTATCGTTTCATCTTAAAAAAGTTTCATCGCAACATCACCAAAATATGGTCTACTGAAATTTTACTTCTACTAATTTGCGCAGCATAGCCGATTCTGGATGTTGGACTGAATTCAATTTTTGAAATAATAACTTTTCCCTTAATAACTTCAAAAACAATGCTGAAGACAAAGAAACTCATTGGAACTTTTTGAGTGAAATTAATCAGCACTGCATTACAAGGAGGAGAAAAACACGAAAACTTCCCGCTGTCAGCTTGAGGACAATCGAGCTATAAAACACACTTTACTTAACATTGTACATTGGTACTGTAATCGGTACAGGTCTCAGAGCAATATAAAATTCATTGAGCTATATCAGGGGTTTTCAACTTACATGAGGCCGGGGGCCACAATTAAAAACACAAATCAAATAGCGGGCCGCAACTTTATCAAAATTTTATGTAGGACTCTTTTTTATTTGAAGGAACATTAAATATTACTGTCAGATTCTTACCAAGTTGTATAAAACTAAAATATTTAATTACAAATTAAAATAAGTAGATTTTCAAAAATATTTAATTGCATATTAAAAAATTCGGGCTGCAATAACTTTAATGTGCACCCATGTATTAAACAATTAATGTGCAACAGATATCTAATTGTTAAGATATAAAACTTTAAAAAGGTGGTATTAAAACTTACATAGTAGCACACAAAATGTTAGTGACAAAATTGAGGTTTGTCTGCTACAACCACCAGAGAATAGATATTTACATTTTAAATTTACAAATGTGTGTGTAAATATTTTCGTCCAAAATGAGTGGTTTCAAAAAGTTAAATCGGAGAATTTCTTCGAGAAAATTTCTGATACACACATGCTAAATTATATTCACAAAATACAAAAAAATGAAATACAAAAGAGCAACATACACGATTATTTTTGTATTTGAATAAATATTTTCTTGGATGCAAAACCTGAGAAATATTTTTTTTTGCACCGTTGGTACGATAAATTTCACAGAAACGAAGAAATTAGATTTTTATAAATGAGAAAAGTATTTCAAACCCAGATAGATTTTTTACGGAAATTGTCCGCAAGAAAATGACAACTAATATATTTCAGTTCGTGGGCCACAGAAAATGGCTTCGCGGGCCGGATGCGGCCCCCGGGCCGACAGTTGGAAACCACTGAGCTATAGCAAGGATTTAAAACTGGTTCCCTTGCTTCAGAAGTAAAGTTCTATCTATCCAAAGAGTCATTCCAACTTTTAAAATTGATTGAAAATAAATGTGCATTTTCTTATGTCTTACGCACCATTTGATATATATATATATATGTAATAAAAAATTTTTGTTTAATTTTCTAGGCCTCCATGATGGTCGAAGGATGCGCCAAAGGGGTGAAGTATGGCCTCTTCGTCGCCAATNTTTCTCAGAGTCAATGGTATGATAAATTTCACAGAAACGAAGAAATTAGGTTTTTATAAATGAGAAAAGTATTTTAAACCCAGATAGATTTTTTACGAAAATTGTCCGCAAGAAAATGACAACTAATATATTTTAGTTCGCGGGCCACAAAAAATGGCTTCGCGGGCCGGATGCGGCCCCCGGGCCGACAGTTGGAGACCACTGAGCTATAGCAAGGATTTAAAACTGGTTCCCTTGCTTCAGAAGTAAAGTTCTATCTATCCAAAGAGTCATTCCAACTTTTAAAATTGATTGAAAATAAATGTGCATTTTCTTATGTCTTACGCACCATTTGATATATATATATATATGTAATAAAAAATTTTTGTTTAATTTTCTAGGCCTCCATGATGGTCGAAGGATGCGCCAAAGGGGTGAAGTATGGCCTCTTCGTCGCCAATGCAGTTATACTCGTAAGTCACCATAGTAATTTTGGCGATTATTTTACATTACAAATGTAATTCTTGTCAGCAGGCTGAAATTTACTTATTTCTGAAACCGATGCGAATCAGTAATTGTCAATTCTTAGTAAGAATTTCTATTAACTTAAATTCTGATAAACATTAATTTTTTTTCTTTCAAATTGCATTATAAACTAATTAAAGTCATTAAGACGTTTCATTCCTCTCCTTTTAGAAATATATGAACTTTGTTTCTTTTTTAAGAACGCTTCTTACAGTCGAAAAATTATATTTCAAAGTTATTTAAAATATGAGAGAATTAAAGTTATGAGCAAGGCTTAAGAATAAGGAAATTTCCTGCTAAGTAATTGAAAATAGAGAAGTACCAATTATATTGAAACTGCACTATTTGAAGTTTTTTCCTTCTTTTTTTAAAATTTTGTTTTGTACTTGTAGCGCCTATTAAAACTAGACAATTATAAATGGTTATTATAAGAACATTAATTACTAATTAAGCTCATTACTAATTAAACGTCAATTGGCATATCATTGCCATTTCAATGGGTAAAATTTTTCCAGAGTAAAATAAACAAATGGTTTCCTTATTTTTACTTTACTAGACAATTTTTACATTGTTTTAAATAATGTAATTTTACATGACTATAAAATTTGAGTGAAATCGGTTGAATATTTCTTGAGAAATTTAATTTCGAAAAAGTCATATATTTAAAAATTCGATTTATCAGGAACTTCTCAACCGATTTCTTTCAAATTTCGTATTTTGCCTCGCATAATTACACTTTTAAAATTGTGTAAAAAATTTTATACCTTACAATTATATGCTTATTAAACTTGATTGTCATATTGTGTACCCCCTATTAAGCCTATAATTATTTCCTTTCAAAAATTTTTTGACTATTATATAAAATGATAAGTATTTACCAAAAACTTTTTTTTTTGCATGGAATTATCTTTGGCTAAACGAATTTCATAATTGTGTTCGAAAATTTTTCAATTCGCTTAAAAAGTTCTCGAGATATAAAGAAATAGCAGAAAGTAAAATTAACATTAAGGGATTCAAACTTTGCTCGGGACTAAATTATGGGGACTATATTTCCCAGATTGCGGCTACATCCTATATTTTGGGGGGCAGAAATCCGAACTCGTCGAAAAAAAGGCAGCTTTATTCAGATAAGTACGTTTTTGTGTCTGATTTCGTAACTTTCAATATTGTCTGCATTTATTAATTTGCATATTTGCGGTTACCTCTTCGAACTACTAAGATCGAGTCCTAGAACGCAAAGATCCAATCAAATTTTTTTTTTTTTTGTTAAATTAAAACAAATACCCGACAACGTTAAGAGCTTGCGACAGCTTTCTCTTTAATGGATTCAAGTAAAGAAAAATGAATGACTGTTGATTTTCAGAGTGTGGTTCAAGGAAAAAGAAATTGCTCATAAAATTCAAAACTCTAAGATCTTATGCATGATTCTTTGACGAATCCAACCGGTGACGGAAAGAAAAAAAACCCCAGCTCCGTCAAAGTTAACTTCTAGACTTCTCGTTATCAATATCGCATCGTTAAAACAGCAATTGATGAATCTGTAACTTCCGCAATTGTATCCTCACTGTAACTTTCTGTTACATTTAAAATTTTCGAATTAAAAGTAAAATAAAAACTGCTAAAACGACATGTTTAAAGTTTGCTTCGCGTAACGTTTTGAAGCCTCATTTATAGCATAAACTTGTTTTTGATTCGCAAAAAGAAAAGAAAAACTTCAATGTAAGCGAGTGAGATGGATAAAATATTACTGGCAAGAAACTTTGTATTAATCAAAGCGCATTCAAGGAGATTCTTGACTTTACGGATAGGTTTCAGTGCGAGAGCTTAAAGACTAATAAAGTCATCACAAAAACTAATGCCAACTAAATAGATTACCAAGATATACTTAAGATAATATATCTTGGTCAAGATAATTCTTTTATCCCGTTAATTCATGATATGATGGATATTCATCATCATAGTTTGACAGACAGCCCAATGTGGGCCAATGCCTTCCTCTGAAGATTTCTCCGTAACTGCTTCCGATTTATCTCTGATCTCAAATTCTTTTCATTAATTGCAAGAAAATCAGACTCCACCGAGTCAGTCCACTTCAACCGCGGACTTCTCCGCTTTCTTGTTCCAGTGGGTCCGAAAAGCAGTATCTTTTTTTATTGTATTGTCATCTCTCCTTCGAATCACGTGGGCCATCTAATTCATTCTGTTTATTTTTGTGTATTTAATAATATCCGGTTGTTTACAAATCTTGCACAATTCAAAGTTAAATCTCCTTCTCCGTCATTGTTTTCCTTTACACCAAGTATACTCTGCAAAATCTTTTTTCTCAAATATGATGGATATTGTTTGCAAGTTAAAGCTTCACTCCATAAATTCAAGATTACAACAATATATTTCTGAAACTATTACAGCTTCTATAAGTGTTAATAAAAATTAATTTATTATTGAACTATATTCCACAACACCACTTAATAAAGTTTTAACCCCAGTAGACAGAAAACGTCGAAATGCCTTTTTTCAGGTTTCCTTTTTGAATGAATTTTCGAATCGTAACTGCGTTATAATATCTTACGTGCGTCTCGTTACTAATACTACATTTTTACATCACATTAACCAACCGTTATTTACGTTTGAGCCAAAATTAATTCAATTTTTAGAAAAAAATTAAGATAATTTAAAAAAATTTGTTTACATTTTTCTCAAAATTTAATAATTATAATCATTTTTATCAATTTAAAGAATTATGAAATAAAACCTGTAATTAAAGAAAAATTAACAGCAAAACTAAAAATAAAATTTGATATATTTGTAAAATTCATATTTTTCAAATAATAAATAACTTTTAAAATCTTATTAAATGCATTATTATCTTTATTATTAACTGCAACTTTTCTTTCAAATAATTTCTTTCAGTGCTATAAGATAAGTTATAATAAATACCACAAAGAAGGGAAACAAACTCAATTTATTATCTGCAATAAAAAGAGGTTAACTACTACATTAAATAGATTTTACAAATTGGAAAATAATTTTATTAATTAAATTATGCATACCACATTCTTGTTATCATTATGTTTGTTGTTTCTATAAATAAATCGAAGAAAAATCTAAGTAAATAGAATTTTAAAATCTGCGTTCGGGTTTTTTGAGCTCTTAAGTTATTATATCATTAAAATTTAAATAGAAATTTAATTTTTTTTTTCAGTTGAGAATTTAAGTTCTATCGGCTGCACTTCTTTTTCTGTTTTGCTTATTAAAATAAAATAATTAATGTACATTAATGTGCCAGCGCTATAAAAAAAATACCACAAATAACGAAAATTGAAATAATATAGCGTAAAAAAATTAAATTTAAAAAATACACATTCTTAGATAACACTACAACAATTCCAATAAAGTTCTTTAAATAAAAATGATAAAGGAAAAAAAACTTAAATTAAGCCCAATTCAATGATAAGCCTTTTATAACCTTTCTCAACGTTTATAAAATCTAATACTTGTTTCAATTAGCAACGTAAGCTTACTTAAACTTGTTTTCAAGACATATAAGTTTTTTTAATGGGGTTTTGGAATTAAAGTTTTGTTAATGAGATTTTAGCTCATCAAATTATTTTAACGAAACCATAAACTACGAATTTCAACAAATTAATAATTATCAAGGTTGAAAAGACGTGCTCGGTTACTGTGGCAGTTGGTTAAGAACAGAGCTAAATTTTTAAAAAGTTGACTTAATGCAACAAAACGAATCTCCCTCTAATCTATTTATGGGTCATTCTCACAAAAACAGTCATTTTCATGTCCCCAGTACATTTTATGTTTGTTTTACAGCTTACGAAAAAAAAAAATTCAGGGAAAGTGTCCTTCAGAATGCAAGCTAACAAAAGAATAAAAATAAAATTATCAATTTTTATTTTTTATTTATTTTAGGTAATTAAAATATACCAATATGTCATTCCCTCACTTGTCCCCACTGCTGATTTAAAAAAAGAAAAAAATTGTTT